GAATAACAAAAAATTCCTAAAACTAGTAGCAGAAAAGAAATAATAAAAGCCAAAGCAGAAATAAATGAAATAAAAACTAAAAAAACAATCCAAAAGATTAATGAAACCAAAAGCAGGTTCTTTGAAAAAATAAATAAAATAGACAAACTCCTAGCCAGACTCACAAAGGAAATATGGGAAAAAGCACAAATAAACAGGATCATAAATGAAAGAGGAGAAATCACAATGGACACAGCAGAAATCAAAAGAATAATCAGAGATTAGTATAAACAGTCATATAGAAATAAGTTCAACAACCTAGAAGAGATGGACAAATTCCTACAGTTATACAATCACCCAAAGCTTGATAAAGAATAGAACACCTAAACAGACCAATTACATGCAGCAAAATTGAAATGGTAATCAAAAACCTCCCCAAAAACAAAAGCCCAGGACCTGATGATTTACAAATGAATTCTACCAAACAGTCAGAGATGAATTTGTGCCTATCCTTCACAAACTTTTCCAAAAAATTGAGAAGGAAGGGACAATACCAAACACATTCTATGAAGCCAACATTAAACTAATATCAAAAACGAACAGGGACAACACAAAAAAAGAAAAATACAGGTCAATTTCTCTAATGAACAATGATGCAAAAATACTCAATAAAATTTTACCTATCAGAATCCAACAATGTATCCATAAGATAATTCACCACAACCAAGTAGGATTCATTCCAGGGACACAGGCTGTTTCAACAACTGAAAATCAATCACCGTCATCCAACACATCAACAAAAAGAGATATAAAAACCATATGATAATATCAATAGATGCTGAGAAAGCTTTCGACAAAGTGCAATACCCATTCATGATAAAAGCCGTTGAAATTCTTGGGATACAAGGAACATACCTCAACATCATAAAGGCCATATATGACAAGCCAACAGCCAGTATCATTCTCAATATTGAAAAGCTGAAAGCATTTCCATTAAGATCTGGAACAAGACAAGGATGTCCACTCTCACCACTGCTTTTCTTTTCTTTTTTTTTTTAAATAATAAATTTTATTTTTATATTCCCCCATACAATTGCAAAAGCCCCATTCTGACCCCAATCCTTCCCTTCCCGCATGCTCAGTGAAATAAACCACTGCTTTTCAATATAATCCTGGAAGTCCTAGCCAGAGCAATAAGACAAGAGAAAGACATACGGAATCCAAATAGGCAAGGAAGAAGTCAAACTATTAATATTTATGGAGGATATGATAACATACATAGAGAACCCCAAAAATGCCACAGAAAAACTAATTAAACTAATCAATCAGTTCAGTAAAGTGGCAAGATACAAAATCAACACACAAAATCAGTAGCCTTCTTATACACAAACAATAAATCTGAAGAAGTAAAAAAAAAATCCATTTATTATCAAAACAAAAAAAAATAAAATACTTGGGAATGAATCTAACAAAAGAGGTAAAGGACCTATACAAAGAAAACTATGAAACACTATTAAAAGAAAGAGAATAAGACACAAAGAAATGGAAAGTCATTCCCTGCTCATGAATTGGAAGAATAAACATTAAAATGGCCATCCTACCAAAAGCAATATACAGATTCAATGCTACTCCAATAAAAATTTCAATGATAGTCTTCATGGAAATAGAACAATTATTGATGAAATTCACCTGGAATCACCAAAAAGCCCGAATACCCAAAGGTCTTCTGAAAAAAAAAAAAAAAAAAAAGGAAATGGAGGCATCACACTCCCAGACTTCAAACTATATTACAAGCCATAATCATCAAAACTGCATGGTATTGGAACAACAACAGACAAACAGACCAACGGAATCAAATAGAAAATCCAGAAATAAACCCACAGATTTATGGTCAACTAATATTTTACAAAGGAGCAAAGAATATGCGCTAGAGCAAAGAAAGTTTGTTTAATAAACGGTGCTGGGAAAACTGGGTCACTACATGCAAATGAATGAAGCTTGACCACTACCTCACACCATACACAAAAATCAACTCAAAATGGATTAAAGAACTAGACATAAGACCTGAAACCATAAAATACATAGAAGAAATATAGGTGAAACGCTACATGACATGCACCTCAAAGACATCTTTACAGACACATCACCCAAAGTAGTGATAGTGAAGGCAAAGATAAACAGCTGGGACTACATCAAATTAAAGAACTTCTGCACAGCAAAAGAGACAATAACAAAAACAAAGAGAAACCCCACCAACTGGGAGAACATTTTTGCACACAACACTAATGATAAAGGACTGATCACAAAAATCTGCAAAGAGCTGATGAGACTCAGCAACAACAAAGAAAATAATCCAGTCAAAAAATGGGCAGAAGAGCTAAAAATAAACTTCTCTGAAGAGGAAATGCAAATGGCCAACAGACATATGAAAAATGATCAACATCACTTGTAATCAGGGAAATGCAAATCAAAACTACAATGAGATACCAACTCACAGAAGTGAGAATGGCACATATTAAAAAAACTAGCAACAGCAAATGTTGGTGAGGTTGTGGAGAAAAAGGAACTCTTCTGCACTGTTGGTGGGAGTGCAAACTGGTCCAACCACTATGGAGAGCTGTGTGGAGATTTCTTGAACTATTAAACATAGCGCTTCCATATGATCCATCAATTCCACTCCTAGTATTTACCCAAATGACACAGAAACAGTAATTCCAAAGGGCACCTGCACCCCTATGTTTATAGCAGCACTATTTGCAATAGCTAAGCTATGGAAGTAACCCAAATGCCCAAAAATAGATGACTGGATCAAGAAGGTGTGGTACATATACACAATGGAATATTACTCAGCAATCAAAAAAGATAAACACGTGCAGTTTGCAGCAACATGGATGGAGCTAGAAGAGATCATGCTCAGCGAAGTAAGTCAGAAAGAAAAAGAAAAATACCGGATGGTCTCACTCGTAGCAGGGATTTAGAAAACCTAAATAAGAGACCAGGAAAAAGACTAATCAATAGAAAACAAAACTCAAAATCAACAAGCAACTATAAACCAGAGACACACTAGGGAGGGCGGGGATGGAGGGGCAGGGAAAGGAAGGACTAGAGTCAAAATAAGGGGGGTGCAATTGTATGGGGAATATAACCAAAACAAAAATGCATACATTGTGCAAAGATGAAAAAAGATGTAAGAATTATATAAAATAAAACATTTAAATAAAAAAGGGCTCCTACACCCCTATGTTTATTGTAGCAGTATTTACAATAGGTAAGCTATGGAAACAACCCAAATACCCAAAAATAGATGATTGGATCAAGAAGATGTGGTACATATACACAACGGAATACTACTCAGCAATCAAAAAAGATAAACTCATGTGATTTGTAGCAACATGGATGGAGCTGGAAGGGGTCATGCTCAGTGAAATAAGCCAGAAAGGAAAAGAAAAATACCGGATGGTCTCATTCATAGCAGGAATTTAGAAAACCCAAATAAGGGATCAGGAAAAAGACTAAATATAATAAAGTCAAAATCAAAATCAACAGGCAACTATAAACCAGAGTCACTCTACAAGGGGTGGGGGGGAACAGAGTAGGATCAAAGCAAGGGTGGTGGAATTTAATGGGGTTATAACCAAGATGAAAATGCATACATTGTGGGCCTCCCCGGTGGTGCAGCGGTTGAGCGCTGTGTTGCAAAGCTGCCCGCGGCCTCTGCGGCGCTGGTTCGATCCCCAGCTGCTCCCCGGCCACCAGAGGAGGGTCCCACATGGTGCGTAGACCTCTCCTGCCGCCTGCTGCTCCCCTCAGCAGTGTACTTCGGTCCTTCTGCCTGCTCTGCTCCCCGCTCTGGCTCTGGTGAATTCTCTCGCCCTCTTGCGCTTCTGATCTGACTGTACCAAGTGCATGTATAAACAAAACGAACAAACAAACAAACAAATAAATAAATAAAACATGCCTCTATTTAAAAAAAATAAAAAAAGAAAATGCATACATTGTACAAAAACAAAAAATGATGTAAAAATATATAAAATAATAAAAAAAAATTTGGTCATTGAGGTAATCAACTATGAACACTACAGACTTAGATGCGAGGGTCCTGGCTTTTGTACATGGAGTTGCTGGCATAACAGTGGTCCTACAAAAAGCTGAGATGCTCAGAATCCTTTTATCATGCTTGCTGCCACACTCTTCCATCTGGCAACTCCTGAATTTTGTCCCTTTATAATAAACAAGTAAGTAAAATATCCCTCAGAGTTCAGTAAAACATCCTAGCACACTAAAACCAGGGAGGGGTTCATTTGAACCTTTGAATTAGAGGTCAAAAGATCTCAAAACAATCTGAACTTGCAACCCTCAATCAGAATCTGTGCTTACAACTGGTATCAAAGTGGGGAGCAGATAAAGGAGACTGAGCAATTTACAGCTGGAATCTGATGTTATTTCTAGGTAGATGGAGTCAGACTTTTTGAATGCTTGGACACCCTTGGTGTGCAAAAATTGCTTGCTGATTGGAGGTGGGGGGATACCTCATGTTAGAATTGGGTTTAGGAACCCAAACACCTCTCTCCCTTGTGGAAATATCTCCAATTTCGTGGAGATATCAGAAAATATTTCTCACCACAATTCAACATTTTGGAGGTCCATGGATCTTAGTGAACTAGGTGTCTCAGTTGTGGATTTGAGAACAAAATGACCTCAAAGCTAGGATAAGGTATAAGGAGGTTAGAAATCTGAAAGGAGTCAAGGTCATGAGATAGAGTAAGATTAACTGGACTCAATTTGTAAACTAATCTCTTAGGAGCAGAGTGTCAGTAAGAAAAATTTCCTCTGTCTCCAGGCCAGTGTCTCACAGGAAAAGGATGTGCTCAGGGGCGGAAGGAATAACAATGGGAACAGTGTTTAATGAGCAGACAGGCATCCATAAATATCTCCTCTGCTGCAGGCCCACGAGGCTTCAAACATTTAGCTGGATAGAGCTGGGTTATTTCTCTTTGGGTCCTAAATCTGATCAATGACCAATGTTTCACTCCTACCTGCTGTCCTCGCTGCAAACAGACCTTCAGCATCCATCATCAACCACCAACAGATTTTGGACGCTGAGAGATCACATTCAGGTGAGTCAAGAGCCCAGGTGTTGCTTCAGGAAATATCAGAGAAATGGAAGCCAATGCTTTCACCTGAGGTCACCTGAGAACCTAACCTATGTATCCCACAACCAAGACATTACTGTTTTTGTTTATAGGGTTGACAATTACATGTTTTTAAAAGTGGCTGATGGACTTAGCAATGCAAGGATCATCGTAGAAATTAAGTGATAGAAATGGAGGTCAAATTACATGAGACTGAGCAAGGAATGAGTAACTTAAAGTGCTTCCACAAAATGAGAATACATTAGAGCAGTTTTGAAATGCAGGGAAATTTGAAAATAGAGCACTAAATTTGAAGGCCTATGCAGTGAATTGAGGGCATTTTTAACTTTCTAAGATTGAGTGTAATTAAGCACGTTTGTGTTTATTAGAAATCCCAGACCGTGGAGGTAATTATTACTTTGCCCCAGAAGGCTTTTATTTTTAATTTAATGTTTGGACAGTATGTGATTTTTTCCCCTCAGTGTGGTCACACTATCCTCTCACCACCAAAGCACCCACAGTCCAGCACAATAGTCCCTGTGCTCTGCCCCCACCCCTATTTTCACTACTGTTCATTACTTGTCCTCCCCCTTCCTTCCTGAATGCTTCAAATCTATGGTGAACTTTCAAGGTTTGTCTTTGTCTAACAAAGACATTGCACATATAAGTGAAAACATCCATTATTTACCTTTTTCCTTCTGAATTATTTTTGCTTAGCATCAAACCATTCCAGCTCCATCCATGTTGCCACAAATAGCATGGATTTATTATTTTTGATCACTGAATATTATTCATTGTGATGTATTAGTTCATTTAAAGTTTGGTAGAACTCACTTATTAAACCATCTTGTCCTTGGTTTTGTTTTTTGGAGGAGTTTTAATTGCCATTTCAAGTTCCTTGTAATTTGTTTATTGAAGCTTTTTCTTTCTTCCTTATTGTCTTGGGTGATTTTCTAATTCTAAGAATTTGTCCATCTCATCTATCTAGATTGTTTAATTTGTTTGCATATAAATGTTCATGTAACTTCTTATTATCCTCTGATTTCTACTGTGTTGTTATAATTTATCCTCTTTCATTAATGATGCTGTTTATTAGAGTTTCATTTTCTTTTTCTTGTGAGCCTGTCTGAGGGGAGTGTTCTTTTTGTTTATTTTCTCAAAGACCCCACTTTTGGTTTTATTATCTTTTGGACTGTCCCTTTAGACTTTTGGACTTTCTATTTCATTAATGTCTGCTTTAATTTTTATGATTTCCTTACTTCTACTTGTTCCTGGAAGGATCTGTGCCTTTGTCCTTGGCAGTCACAGCCAGGCTGGTTCAGCAGCAGCTGTGCACCAGCAGGGAATGGTGACGGTGAAATGCAGTTAAAAGGAGCTTCAGAAGAGGCTCCTGCTGGAGTTGTGGACCATAGACATCATTCGGTGGTCAAGGGTTTCATTTATGGACTTGATATTATTTTATTAATTTGGATGTTTTCCATTTTCCAAGTCATTGCTTCATTTGTGTATTTGAAAGTTTAATGAACCCTGACATTGAAGAATTATTTGAATTTCTAAAGAAATGCCCAGGGACTCTGATCAGAGCTTTGCTTGGCTTTCAACCAAATCTATGCACTGTTCTCTCTCCATGAAAGCAAGTCATAAGGAAGTTAACAAGCAAGTATCTTTCTCCTTAGAAATAGGTTCTGCTCACTCCTGTTCCTGGGCAGCATTAACCAGGGGAAGTGAGCCGAGTGTGGAGCATGTGGAGAGGTGAGGGAAGCTCACCTCCTCTGGAGAAAGCGGACACAGGAGCATTTGCTGGTGTGATCTGACAGAGATTACAATTCTAACTCTTCTTGATAGCATATGCTAAGGACTCTGGCTCCTGGACTAATTCTGCACCCCTATCCCCTTGCCAGAGGCGTTTGTTCTGCCCCTCTCAGCTACATCTCAGCTCCTCAGAAAAGGATCAAAATTCAGATAGATGTGAGAAGGTCAAAGGTAAACTCAACACTCTCCTTTCCCTCAGGAAATAGCCATTGCCTCCCCACAGAAACCCCACCTTCCTCAAGGTCCTAGGAGGCCCGATCTGAGGCCAGGGGTTAGGCATTTTATATCAAGGATGCTATGAACATATTTCATTTTTTTAAAGAATAATGTTTGTGAATTTTAGGTGTTCAGGCAAGCTTTTGAAAATGTATGTAATTTTGTGTTGTTCACCAATGTTTTTTTATAAGTCATTTACCCAAATAAATGGAGTTGCTTACAAAAATAATCACTCATAAAAATGTCTTATCATTTCACAGTTCAACATCTTTCTGTATGGTATGTTACACATTTGAGCAAGTATGGTGTTATAACTTTTGTGTTTATTCACAAAATTTAGTTATTTTTCTTGTGCGATGTTCAATCAGTAAGATATCTTGACTTTGTAAAAATATTGTTCCTTTCCTTTTGGATGCCTGGTTTTGCTGATTGTCAGTGACCTGGGGTCAGGAGCTACAACTGGCACTGGAAGATTCTCCTCATCACAGTCTCTAGGACCACCTGAGCTGATTAGCTCTTCTCCCCTCCCATGTGTCTTTATTTCCTTCTAGTTTCTATGTTTCTGCATTTTTTTCTATAATACAGCACACAAAACGGTCACATTAAAATGGAACCTCATCTTTTCATATCCATGGTGGCTCAACAATTGAAATTTGTGTTCCATTTGTATATTCTTTAGGGTAAAATACTTTGATGTTGATATAGTCTTCTATTATTCCTTTCAAAATAAATGTGTAAGGGGGTGAGAAAACCATGGAAGTAACAAGGTGTCTTTATAGTGTGCCTTGCGTTGTGTTGTGGTGTGGTGTATGTGTATGTCTGTGTGTATGGGTTTGTTTGAATATGTGTATATGTGAGTGTGTGGGGGGATTGTTATGGGTATTGTCTATATTGGTGAGTATATGTTTATAGGTGTGTAATGTTTGTGTGTTCCTGTGTGTGGGTATGTAGGAACATGTGTGTGTGTGTGTGTGTGAGTGGGTGTATGTGTGTGTATCTCTGTGTATGTGTATGAGTATATATATGTTTAGGGTGTATATATGTGTGTGTTTCTATATATGTATGTAGGTATATGTGTGTGAATGGGTGTGTGTACATGTGTGTTTGCACATATGAGTGAATGTGTATGTGTCTATATTGGTATATCTGTGTGCGTAGAGGTGTGTGTGTACACAGGTATGTGTGTGTGTATTTGGGGGACACAGTTGTCAGACAGTGGTATGTCCACTTATATGCTCCAAACTGTGACCCATGAAATACAGGTGTTAAACATTAATATTGTAATACTGATGAGGCTCCAGCTCTATTCACAGAATATCTTGGAACAAAATTAATAAAATAAAAGTTTCAACAACAAATGAGGGAACCCCTGGGCCTTCAAGTCAGCAGAGCAGGGAGGCCTCTGGGATCCTCGACATTCTCTGACACCATTTCTCATCACTCTTCCTTTCTCATTCCCCTGACTTTCTTTGACAGCTAAAGAACTGAAACAAGTGCTCTTTCTAGGGCCTTAGAACTGACTTTATCCCCTTCAGGGCAAACACATCTCTTCCCTTGGTAACCTCTTGTCTCCTGCTCAGTGTTTCTTGAGGTCTCTGTTCAAACGTAACCTGATTACAGGTCTTCCTGAGCCTCCAGGAAAAACTAACACCCCCTCCATTTTTCTTGTACCTTTATTTATTGTTATTTTTTTTAAACTACGGTAGCGCCTGTCACTATCTGACATGGTATAAAAATCTTTATGTATTTTTATTATAGTCTTTCACCATCAAAGATTACAATGATGTTTTTCCTCAGCATCCTGTAATCTCTGCCTTGAAGATAGTCCATGCTAACATGTATTCTTCAAAGTCATAAAGACATTCTTGTGAAAAGCGTCAAACATGATCTCTTGGGAAAACCTTAATGTGGAACAGGAGTGCTCATCAGAGATGGCAGGGGTCATGGAATGAAAAAAAAAAAAAAAGGTCTTTACAAGAAACATGTTTCTTGACTGCAAAATAAATTGTACCATTTCATTCTCTTAGTAAAGTACAATATGTGAAAATTGCTCTCTCTTTTTGTTTCTAGCCATCACCACCAACACATGGCATAAATAATTATACACAAATTTCAGGATTTTTCCTTCTGGGATTGTCAGAGAAAGCAGACTTGCAGCCCCTCATATTCATGCTTTTCCTTTTCATGTACTTGACCACTATGTTGGGAAACCTGCTTATCATCCTGGCCATCTGCTCTGACCCACGCCTACACACGCCCATGTACTTCTTTCTCTCCAATCTGTCCTTTGTGGACATCTGCTTCACCTCCACCACCATCCCCAAGATGCTGTGGAACATCCAGACGCAGAGCAAACTCATTACCTATGCCAGCTGCCTCACACAGTTGCATTTTTTCCTACTCTTTGCATATCTGGATGACTTCATTCTGTCTGCAATGGCCTATGACCGCTTCGTAGCCATCTGTCACCCCCTGCACTACACAGTCATCATGAACACCCGGTTCTGTCAGCTCCTGGCTCTGGTATGCTGGGTCGCTAGCATTTTGGCTTCCTTGCTGCATGGCTTGATGGTGCTGCGGCTGTCCTTCCATACAATCGTGGAGATCCCCCATTTTTTCTGTGAAATCAATCAGGTGATACACCATGCATGTTCTGACACCTTTCTTAATGACATATTGATATATATTTCATTGGTGCTGCTGGGTGGTATACCCCTCTCTGCAATCCTTTACTCTTACTCTAAGATAATTTCCTCCATATATGGGATCCCCTCAGCTCTGGGCAAGTATAAAGCATTTTCCACCTGTGCATCTCACCTTTCCGTTGTCTTTTTGTTTTATTGCTCAGTCGTGGGAGTATACCTTAGCTCTGCTGCTCCCCAGAACTCACATGCAAATGCAATAGCCTCAGTGTTGTACACTGTGGTCACACCCATGCTAAACCCCTTCATCTACAGCCTGAGGAACAAAGATATAAAGGGAGCTCTGAAAAGAGTCTTTGGGGTAATAGCTATGAAAGGGCCCATTTGGGGGGATCTAAAGTAATCAAGGATGCAGGGCTGAAATTTTGAGTCCAAAATTGCTATTCTTTGATTATATTGTGGAAATAGTACTTGCTCTTCTATTAATTTCCTGCAGTGTTCTTTCATTGACTTCAATTTCTCTATACAATAAATATCTGATGTTATCATGGCTTCTAAGACATAGACACTTTCTCTTTTGCCCATTTTCCTACTTTCTTAAAGCTTTTCCCATCTTGGCTCAGAAATATTTGGAATTACCCATATTTTTCATGGGACAACACAGATTTCTTAGGAATGATAGATAATCTGATTTCATGTCATTTCAAATATTTTCTTTAGATTTCCTTTTTTTAAAAAAATGTTATCATCTGTATTACAAATATTTAATAAACTGTACTTGGCAATTAAGATTTTATATATATATATATATATATATATATATATATATAACTGTACTGCAAAGAAAAATCAGAATCCACAATTTTGTCCCTAATCTCTTTTCTACTTCAGAACTTTAACTGATCTTACTGAGTATGCAGACTGTAACCTGCAGCTGTGATTTATAGCTGGCCTTGTGTTTGTTTCTACTACTCAGTGGGTTATACACATAATAATGGTATACATTGTTTCCCAAAAATATAGCTCCCAGTGGAATTTACATGGAAAGAAAAATTTGAATGAAAAGATTGCCCTAATATGGCCCAAAGTCAGAAATAACCTTAAATAGATGAAACAAAATGAAAAATAATGTGGGGCCTCCCCCATGGCGCAGTGGTTGAGCACTGGGCTGCAAAGTTCCCCGCAGCCTCTGCAGCACCAGTTCGATCCCCAGCTGGCCAGCAAGGGTCCCACATGGTGCGCAGACCTCTCCTGCTGCTCCCGCTGCTCCCCTCAGCAGTGCGTTTCATCAGTCTGCCTGTTCTGCTCCCTGCTCTGGCACTGGTGAATTCTCTCACCCTCCTGCACTTCTGACTCTACCCAGTGCTTGTATAAATAGATAAATAAATCTTTAAAAAAAAAAAGAATCATTTTAAAAAATGATAAATAATGTATTTTTACCATGTAATATATTTATGGAATATATTTATTTCTCATGCTGTACCACTTTTCACTGAAGTATGAAAGACTTGTTTGCTGTGTGTGGGGGTGGGGGGCATGTATACATTAGAATAAATGATGATTGGTGTATTTTTCTAAATAATGTTCCATTTTTGCTTGAAAAATTACATTCTGACTAAAACTATAAGTTTTATTGCTCTAAACAAAAGATGTCCCCTTTCCTAAATTTTATGATAATCAATAAAAATGGAGTAAAAAATAATATTGAGGTCATCCCAACCTTTCTCCTTCATGCTCAAGAAGCTGTCCCTCTTCATGATCTAAAGTGACTGAATAGAGCTGATCCCTGCCTGTCTTGTAATAAAGAGCACTGCTGTTTCTGCAGAAACAGTCTTCCTTCCACACTCCCCAGGGTCTATACAGTGGAGAGTCAGTTGGCCATGCATTCATACGGATACCTAAAGTACTTGAATGAGAGAATAATTATCAATGATGTCTCCAGAATCAAAATGTAACAGTGCGATCTTCATAGAAAGGGGTGATTCCAGGTTTTCTGCCCCACCTAAAGAAGGGTGGAGCTGAGCAGCAAGAAGAAGGAAGGACAGAGAGACCAGGAGGAGGCACATGGAGAAGAGAGACATGTGAAGAAGTTGTGCTTGCTTCTGAGACTTGGACTTTTACCAAGGAATTTGGGACATGGAAAGAGACACTTAGGAGAAGCATGGGTGACAGACTCGTGGGGAGACTGACAGTGACAGTCTTTATATTGACTTGTATTTTGATTTTGCTCCTTTCCTTCCAGTCATGCCTGGCCCCTTCTGCCCCTTTCCTATGGGTCCCCACCAGGAGGTACCTAAGACTTGTGGCAGATCTTTGGACTCAGTGCCCTGCTTTGGGCCAACCCTGTTGAGCTGGGCATTTGCCCACAAGGGATGGACATTTACCCACAAGAGGATGGGTAACTTTGAGTGATTCATGGAGATACTATTTTAACTATATCCTTTCTCCTCTTTCTACTACATATAAATTTTATTATTTTTTTTCCCTATTGAAAGTCTTACACACTAACAGTATGTTTTGTCTTGATGCAGCGGATGGCAGAACCCATATAAAGCAGGTAGGTTTGGGGGGCTGGGGTGCCTTCAGCCTGCCTGGTAATAAGAACATATGCCAAAAATAAAAGACAACAGGCCATTACAATTGCTCTTGGTGCCATTTGGCTAGATTATTGCATAGAAATTTTTACTAAGCAAGCTTCCTTAATCAACCAATGACTCTATTATTGAATGGGAATATATGGTGGGAACTGTTGTGAGCCTTGTTTAGATAATTTCAAGTCTGAGTTCTACATTGAGTCATTTTTTGTTTATATATATTATATTATTATTCATTTTTGTACAATGTGTGTTCTCCTCTCAGGCGTAGTCCCCATAGAATTCTCACCACCAATACACCTATCATCATCACCATAGTCCCGTGTGTGCTTCCCTTCCCTGTTTTGATCCCTCCCCTGCAGAGTGTCTCTGATTTATGGTTGCCTGTTAATTTTGGGTTTTTTATTTTTCTTTTCTTGATCCATTATTTGGTTACCTTATATCCCTATTATAAGTGAAACCATTCATTTTTTTTTTCCTTTTGGCTTATTTCACTGAGCATAATCCCTTCCAACTCCACCCATGTTTCTTAGAATAGCATGAGTTTATCTTCATTATGTATATATACCACATCTTCTTGATCCAGTCATCTATTTTGGGGCACTTGGGTTGTTTCCATAGCACAAAATAGTGCTGCAATAAATAACAGAGTGGGGGTTTACTTTCAAAGTAATATTTTTGTATTCTTTGAGTAGAATCCTAGGAGTGGAATTGCAGGGTCATATGGTGGCTTCATTTTTAGTAGTCTGAGGAATGTCCACCCAGCTGGACCAGTTTGCTGGACCAGTGGCTGGACCAGTTTGCTTTCCCACCTGCAGTGTAGGAGAGTTCCTTTTTCTGCACATCCTCATCAGCATTTGTTGTTGGCAGTTTTTTTTTTTTTTTAATATGTGCCATTCTCACTTGTGTGAGGTGGTATCTATTGAGGTTTTGATTTGCATTTCCCAGTTTATAAAATGCAGTTTATAAACTGCATTTCCCAGTGTATTTATTTGCATTTCCCAGTTACCTTTTCTTTTTCATATACCTGTTGGCTGTTTACATTTCCTCTTTGGAGAAATGGATTTTTCTCCAAAATTTTTTTGACTGGATTAGGATTATTTGTTTTGATTTTGAATCACATGAGCTCTTTATAGATCTTTGTGATCAGTCCCTTATCAGTTGTATGGAGTGCAAAAATTTTCTTCCAATGAGTAGCATGTCTCTTTGGTTAATGTCTCTTTTGCTGTATAGATTTTTTAAATTATTTTAGTGGTTTTTTATTAATTTATTAATTTATATATAATATTTTACTTTTTTTTCCCATTTTTTAACAATGTTTGCTTTCTTTTCTCAGGTGTAGTCCCCATAGAATTTCCACCACCAGTTCACTCATGCACTATCACCATAGTCCCTTGTGCTCTTCCATTCCTCGTTTTGATCCCTCTCATTTCCCTCTCCCCCACAGAATGACTCTGGTTTATAGTTGTCTGTTTGTTTTTTGTTTATTATATTTTTATTGTTATTATTTTTCCCTAATGCTTATTTGGATCCCCTATATACCTCCTATGAGATAAACAATCTGATATTTTTTTTTCCTTCTGACTTGTTTCCCTGAGCATAATCCCTTCTAGCTCCATCCTTGTTATTTTGATGTAATCCAGCTGTTTATCTTTCCCTTCACTTTCTTTGCTTTGGGGGAATGAGTGTTTAAGATGCTACTGTGATGTATGTCATGTAGTGTTTTACCTATATTTTCTTCTACATATTTTATGGTTTCAGGTATTATGTTAAATTATTTTAACCATTTTGAATTGGTTTTGTGCATGGTTTGAAGTAATAGTCTACTTTAACTCATTTCCATGTGATGGTCCAGTTTTCCCAGCCCAGCACCAAACTGTCCTTTTCCATTACATATCATTTGCTCCTTTGTTAAAGATTAGTTGTCCGTATATGTGTGGTTTTATTTCTGGGTTTTGAATTCATTTCCATTGGTCTGTGTCCGTTTTTGTTCCAATACCATACTATTTTAATTATTATGGTTTTCTAGTATAGCTTGAAATTTGGGTGTGTGAACCTCCATTCACCTTCTTTCTAGTCAGGAAAACTTTGGTATTCGAGTTTTTTTGTGATTCCATATAAATTGCATCTATATTTTGTCTATGAAGAATGTCATTGAGATTTTTTTTATTGGGATTGCATTGAATCTGTAAATTGCTTTTGATAGAATAGCCATTTTAATAATGTTAATTCATCCCATCCATGAGCAAGGGATGTCTTTCCATTTCTTTGTGTCTTAATCCATTTCTTTTTTTTTAATCCATTTCTTTTAACAATATAATTGTATAATTTTCTTTGTATAAGTTACTAACCTCTTTTGTTAGGTTAATTCCCAAGTATTTGATTTTTTTTTCATTTCAATTATAAAAGGGATGGTTATCTTGATTTCTTCTTCTTTAGATTTATTGCTTGTATATATGGAAGCTACTGATTTTGGTGTGTTGACTTTATATCCTGTTACATTACTAAACTGGTTGATTGTTTTGATTAGTCTTTCTGTGGAGTTTTTAGATTCTCTGTATATTGTCATATCATATGCAAATAGTGATAGTTTTACTTCTTTCTTTCCCTATTTGTATTCATTTTATGTCTTTCTCTTGTCTTATTGATCTGGCTGAGACTTCCAGTATTATATGAAAAGCAGTGGCAAGAGTGGACATCCTTGTCTTGTTCCTGATCTTAAAAGAAAGGCTTTCAGCTTTTTGTCATTGAGAAAAATATTGGCTGTGGGTTTGACATATGTGGCTTTTATCATGTAAAAGTATGTTCC